TCTGTCCCATCGGACCTAATGTCTTCTCTGCATATTCACCTCCGAAGTATGATGGGGCTTTTTGTAGAGAAGACAGGAGACATGATAGCGGTCTTAAATACAACCAGATTGCTATCAGAAGAAAGGGAGTAATTTTTTTTGTGTGTGCTCTGCCTGTTGGGGATAAGATGAGAAGTAAAGGATTTGAAAGACAAAAAGGGAGATTAAGGCTACTCATTAAGGATTTTTTGTACCTGCAAGCCCTAGAAAAGATTGCCTAGGTAGCCAGGAAATCCCCACCGCCGAGGAAGGGGGCAGGCTGTGAGGACAGGTGGCATCCCAGTGCTTTCCAGCCCGGCCTCCCCCATTAGATGGACTCTCCACACACCTGCAGAGCCCCGTGGCCACTCTGAAGGCAGCCGCAGGGGAGCTCCTCTGAAGCAGGGAGCCTGCTGCTTTTAATGTTTGCAGGCTCAGAACAGGCGTGTTGGGATGCTGGCAAGGAGCTCATCATCGCTGAGTAACCTCGTAGGGAAGGCAGGAAAAACAGCTTGCACCACGGGGATGGCAGGAACATGTAGTGCAAGGTGGGGGGAATAATGCACGGAGTGACAGCCCACTGCAACCGTGGTGCAGAAAGAGAAGCACGGGGTTTAAGTCAAAATGCCCCTATAAAGAGCAAGGGAAGAAAGAGGATCAGTTACTGGAAAATAAAATAATCCTTTTTGGCAAAAACGCTCTCTCCTTTACACGTTCCTTGTCACAAATAAATTGTGTCAGCTTTAAAATGCAGAGAAGTATTTGAGTTCTGGATATTTCAGTTCAGATGGTGACAACTGAGAGATCCTGGGAAAATGTAGTATGGAAATATTGAAGAACAGATCAGAAAAACTCAGAGTGAGTGATACATCCTGACAGACTGGTTGTTTCTTTTATATATATATATAAATGGAATATATATGTATATATAAATATAAAAGAGAGGAAAAAAGAGGTAGAAATGCATTTAATAATGAATATGGTCAGATTCTTCCTTGTCAACTGGTCAAGAAGCTGACAGAAACCCCTTGCTTAACAAAAACAGTATTCAAATGTCTGCAGAGCAGAAACGTCCCCGGTGTCTTCAGAAATTACGTGGAACAAGGAGATAGAGCGGGATATTGTTTCAGAACATTGGTACGTGAGAAATATAATTTATCACTCAGCCCCACAATTTACTGCATGGATTGTTCAAACATAACCACTAATCTATATCTGAAGAGAGCACTAATATTTCAAGCCACTAAACACCTTTCAAAGAGTCTTTATGCACCTGTATATTTAGTTTGACACTAAGAGATAGTTTTATACGTATTTAACACAACTGATACGGCTGCCGTTACGCCTTAATTTTCAGCTGTATCTACAGACGACAAAACACTCTCAGATTCCAGAGGCAGAAAATGGAGGTGGAGTACAGAGGCAGAGGACAGACAAGAGCAGTGCGCCTCTAACCACGCCGCCCCGGCAATCACCAGCACTCAGCACATCGCAGTCCGAGCTGCTAGGGGTGCCCAGGGCAGAGCCCCCTGGTGCAGCCCCGGCCTGTGGGGGCACAGAGCCAGCAGCCCCGTGCCCCTGCTGGGACCCCCATGGTTTCCTTGGCCAGGAACAGACCCCAGTGCTGGGGGTCCCGGGGCACCTCACCCCTCCCCGTGCTCTCCCTGTGCCCTCTCCTGCTTCCTTCTCCCTCACCCCTTCCTCTCCCTTTGCCCTCTAGGTCTCTCCTTGCCCTCCCCTTGCCCTCCCCTTGCCCTCCCCTTGCTCCTCGCCTTCCCTCTGCCCCTCCCCGCTCCCCCGGTCCCCCCCCCGCCCCGTGCCGCTCTCCGTGGTGCTGATGGCAGCGGCGGCTCCGCTCCGGCACCGGGGGCGCCGGGACACGGCGCGCCCCGCACGGCCCCGCACGGCCCCGATGAGCCCCCCAGAGCCCCGCACGGCCCCGCACAGCCCCGCACGGCCCCTCACGGCCCCGCAGCCGCGCTCGGGCGGGTGGAAGCGGCGCTGGCCCCGGCGGCCCGGGGTCGCCCGGTGGGGAAGGAGCGGAGGCCGCTGAGCGCGCCTACTCTGAATCATTGGTGGTGTCTGGGTACCCAAATGTGCGGTCGGCAATAAGGTGATCCAGCAGGCAGGAAACGCGAGCGGGAGTCTCGGGGAGAAAGCGGCCACGGGGGGCCCGTGCCCGGCCCTCCGGAGCCGCGGGAGCTCGGAAACCCGCGGAGGAGCGCGGCACGGGAGCACCTGGAGCCGCATTCCTGCCCTGTGTACCCAGGGCTTGGGCTGGCGATAAGGGGCTCGGCACCTCGCAGCAGGGCGGGCGGGAGGCCGGGGCTCCGGGTGCAGCTGCCCTGAACCGCCGCTGAACTCTGCCCTCCGAGCCCGTGCCGATAAGCGCCCTGACGCACCCAGATCGCTAACGCTCTGCGGGCGCTGCCCTCCGGCCGCAGCAAACACCGAGCCCGCGGGGACGTTTCCGCGTGGGCGGGCGCTGCGGCGACAAGGCCGGGGCCGGGGGGCCCAGGAGGGGCCGGGGGGGCCCCGCCGTCCCCTGCTGCCCGCTCCTCGGCCCCGGCGCCCTGGCGGCCCCTCCCCGGCTCTTTGCCCGGTGCCACCGGAGCGGTGCAGGCGCGGCGAGCAAACCCTTGGAGCGGGGCTCCAACCGCGCGGCTTCCGTGGAGGGGAGAGCGGATCGATGGGATCGATGCGGGAGGCTTCCCCGGCCCCGCACGGGAGGAAGGGCTTCTCCTCGGCCCGGCGGCGGCGCCGTCTGCCCCGGCCCGGGGGACCCGAGGGTGCTGCGGGGGCAGGCTCTCTCCGGTTCTGCCTCCCCGCCGGGTCCCGGTGCGATGGTTCCCCAATCTCCCGGCACAGCCGTGGCCGGAGCCGCTGCCCTGGGGCTGCAAGGCCCCGGGGGCCCGACGGCACAAACCCGGGGCTCGGCCCCGCGCCCCCGCAGGGTGACCCAGCCCGCAGCGAAACCGGGTTGAGCCCGCGGGAGCGTGCCAGCGGCCCTCCTAAAACCGGGCCGGCCTAAATCCCAAGCCGGCCGCCCGGGGAAGCCCCGCTGGCCGCCCCCCCGCCGCCGCGGCGCCCCGGGGCAGCGGCACGGAGACAGGCGGGGGGGCCGGGGGGAGCGGGGTGCTGGGAAGGCCGAGCACCGGCAGCATTACTGGAAACCGGCCGGATCAGGTTCCAGATCAATGAGAACTGGGTCCACGCGTTTATGTTCCCGTTGCCAGCATTAATGCTCTTTTAATCTTCTAAACATTATCTGCATCGATTTCCCTCCACACACACGTTGGCTTGAAGAGGCGACACGGCCGCGTGTGCCGGCTGGGGCTGCCCGGCCCGGGGCTCCGCACCCCCGGGGAGCGGCCGGGGGGAACTGGGGGGCCGGCAGCAAGGAAAGGGAACCCAGATAACGGGGGCACCAAAACGGCGGTGAGCACGAGCAGAGTGCAGGCGGCACGGAGCGGGAGCTCGGCTCCTCCAGGTCAGGGGCTATTTCCACCCCCATTCTCTCTTTCCGATTGCCCTCTCCGTTTTGCCGACAGCCCGCCCGGGCTCCAAAAAAGAGGAGAATCGGCCGGTGACGAGCTGCACGGCCGCGGTTACGGATGCGGTCGGGAGGCAGGAGGCGAGCCCCGGCCGGGCAGGGGCTGCGGGGACCCTCGGGGCAGGCGCCCACCGCCCTGCGCGGCCCGAGCGGGGCCGGGGCTCGCAGCCCCCAGCGGCGGGGGGCCCAGCGCGGTGCTGGCCGCTGACAAAGGAGGGGACACCTCCCGCGGGGGCTGCCCCGGCCCCCGAGCCGCGCTGAGGCTGCGCTAAGCGGCAGGCAGCGGCGGGGCCGGGCTCACAGCGCCGTGGGGAGCAGAGGGGCAGTGCCGGAGGGGGCAGGAGGGGACCCCCGGAGCCAGCTCCCTGCGCTCCAGCACGGTGCGGTGCAGCCTTTGGGAAAGGTGGTGTTTACCCTCCGCTAATCTCTGCAGGCTGGCATCAACCGACACGGCAGAACGGCAGAGTTCCCAGAACAAACATCGCCAGGTTCCTAAAATGTGTTTTGCGGACATGGAGCTGTCACAGCAGGCGGCCCAGCCGGACCCCCCCGCTGCTCCGCGCCTGGGCTCGGTGTGTCCGTCCACACGTGCGCTGGGCGGCCCCGGGCCCGCCCCCTCCCATCTCTGGGGGTGCAGGGAGGCGAGCAGCTCCTGCCCGCACGGCCCCGGGTCCCGCCGCAGCCTGGCCCCGGGCAGGAGGCGAGCCGCAGCCGGTGCCTCTCTGCCAACATCTCCTCCGCTCTCGGCGAGCCACGGCGGTGCTGAGATGCTGCGGACGCGCACCCAGCCGACGGCGCTGCCCCAGCGCAGGGAGAGCCATTTGTGCCGGTGCCCCCCTCGCCCCGGCTCCCCCCCAGCAGCCCCCCGGCAGCCTCCCCGCGCCCCCCCGGCCGCTCGCCCCCCGCTCCTCCCGCAGAACAATAGAGCGCTGCGGCGCGCCCAGCCCGCGCCAGGGGGCGCCCGGCCGCGGAACAATGCGGGACCCCGCGGAACAATGCGGAGCCTCCGCGCCCGGCCGCGGAACAATGCGGGGCCGCCGCCAGCCCCGCGCCTCCCGGGGCCGCCACCCGCTCTCGGGCCCGGCCGCCCTCTCCCGGGGGCGCCGGGGGGCGGCCTCGGAACCGCCCGCCGAGGGTGGGAGGGGAGAGAAGGGGCCGCGGGGCTGCCCCCGGCAGCCGGGCCGGGAGGAGCTGCCCGCACCGCCCCGCACGGCCCCGGCCCCGGCCCGGCCCGGCCCCGGCCCCGGCCCCGGGTGGCCGCGCTGCGGGACGCGGGCCCCGCACGGCGAGCACGGGCGGGAGGCGCGGGGGCAGGCGGGGCCGGGAGGCGCCCCCCGAGCGGGCCGGGACCCCCCGCGCCGCCCCCGAGGGTCGCGCCCCGCTCCCGCTCGCCCTCCCCGGGGCTCCGGCGGGCGGCGCCGGGACCTACCTGCGAGTCTTAAGGCTGACATCCTCTGGAACTCGGGTTCCTGCAGCCATTTCCACATCCTCCGGAAGGTCTCCCTGCCGGATTTCAGTTTACTCCAAGGCTTAGGGTTCCGTAGCAAGTCCGAGAGGGTCCCCTGAGACCGGCACAGCACCCGCTGGGCGAAGATCGCCTGGGGGATGCTGTAGCGCTTCAGCTCCGCCGTGATCCGCTGCGCCACTTCTTTGGTGTTGATCTCCTCCAGCTGCCCCGAGCCGCTCACCTGCGAGCCGGACGAGGAGGGCGGCCGCTCCCGGCCGGCGGGCAGCCCGGGCCCGTGGGCCGGCGGGTGGCCGGGGTGCGCGGCGGGGTGCATGCCGTTCAGGTGGGGCATCATGGCCGGGGGCGTCGCCAGCCCCCGCGGCAGGTGCTGCTCGCCCCGGGCCAGCATGGCCGCGTGGGCGTCGAAGTTGGGGCCGAGCATCTTGTCGTGGCCGGGCGGCCCGTAGCCGTGCAGGCCCTGCTGCGCGCCGTGCAGCGCGCCCAGCCCGTTGCCCAGCGGGGACAGGCTCTGCCCCATGGCCGGCATCTCCTTGTAGGGCCCGTAGAGGTTGTTGACGGCGGGCAGCCCGCGCTCGTCCCGCATCAGGGCGAAGCTCCCGCCGACGTTGCCCGACAGGCGCTGGTGGTGGTGGTGGTGGTGGGCGTGCGGGTGGGCGTGCGGGTGGTGGAACTTGTCGGACACGGTGGAGATGGGCGGCAGGGGCTGCAGCGGCGTCAGCGTGGTGTAGGTGCCGCTCATGCCCATGCCGGGCGGCGAGGGCTCGCAGGGCACGCTCATGGCGTGGTGCAGCGGGATGGACAGCTCGGGCCGGTACTCGGCGGCGCCGTCCAGCAGCGAGGCCATGCCGGGCACCATGGCCGGCCGGGCGGCGGCCGGGGCCAGCTCCTGGTGCGGCGGCGGCGGCGGCGGCGGAGGAGGAGGCGGCGGGGGCGGGGGGGGCGGCGGCGGCGGCGGCGGCGGAGGCGGCGGGGGGGGCACCCGTAGGGGCCCGGCGGGGCCGCGGCCGCCGTGGTGCGGGCTGGGGCTGCCCATCAGCTCGGGCTCATGGCCGGCCGCCCCGTGCAGGCTGCCCAGCGGCTCCATCGCCAGCTCGGGGTTCATGGCGCAGGCGGCCGGCGCGGCGGCGAGGCATCGGTAGGCGCCGCGCCCGCTCCTCATTCGGGCATGGGCGCGGCGGCGGCGGCCGCAGCGGGCAGCGGGCAGCGGGCCCGGGCCGCCCCCCCCGACGGCCCCCGCGGCCCCGGCCGCTCAGCCGGACCCCCCCCGCCGGCCCCGCGCCATGTCCTCGCCGCGCCGCCGCCGCCGCCGTCTGCGGCCGCCCGGAGCTGTCCAGGGCGCGCGGCCGCTCCGCCTGGCCGCGCCCGCGGGGCGGGGCCGAGCAGACGGGCGGGCGGCGCGGCCAATCAGCGGCGGCGGCGAGGAGGGGGGCGGGGCCGAGGGGCAGAGCCGGCCAATGGAGAAGCGGGGGGCGGGGCTTCGGAGCGGCCCTTAAAGATGCCGCGGCCCCTTTGTAGCGGCGCGGGGACGGGAACGGGGAACGGGGACGGGGAACGGGGAACGGGGAACGGGGAACGGGGAACGGGGAACGGGGAACGGGGACGGGGACGGGGACGGGGAACGGGGACGGGGACGGGGAACGGGGAACGGGGAACGGGGACGGCGACGGCGCGGCCCCGACGGCACCGCCCGTCCCGTCCCGTCCCGTCCCGTCCCGTCCCGTCCCGGGGCTCTGCCGCCGGGCACCGATCGCGGCCCTCGACGGCTCCCGGAGCGGAGCGGGGCTGCTGCGGGCGGCGGGACGGGGCCCGGCGGGGCAGCGCCTCCCCGCACCGCGAGCACACGGGCACGGGCACACCGACACCGGGCACCCCCCGCCCCGTCCGTCCCGTCCCGTCCCGTCCCTGCCCCGCTGCCGCCGTCCCCGTGCCCCGACAGCCGCCGCCTGCTCCGCCCCGCACGGAGCTGCCCGCGTTGCCCCGGGGCACGGCGCCGCCTGCGCTCCGCGGGGCTCCCGGCCCGGTTCCTCGAGGTGGCTCCGTGCGTCCCCGCTGCTTCTGCCCCCGCTGCCCCCCCCCCCCGGGGCTCGCGGTGCTCCCCGAGCTGCTCTCTGGCACCGAGCTGGTGCAAAACGCAGCTCCCTCCCCGCCCCGCTGCTGTCAGCCTGCGGTGGGAAAGGAAGAAACGGAGAAGGAAAAGAAAGCCCCGGCGTGAGGTGCCTTTGTTCGGGGCAAGTTATGCGTGAAATCTTTTTGTCCTTCCGAGGGGAAGGCAAAAGTCGGGGCTGGTTTTGGGGAGAGAGGCGAGTGCAGCCCCCCAGAGGCGGAGGTGCTGAGGTGGGCGGGCAGGGAGAAGCGGGTGGGCAGCAGAGGCTGGCAGCCAGGTGCTGCAGGTGCATTAGCAGCCTTTGCTTTCCCCTTTTTCCCCTTTCCCTTTCCCCTTCCCCTCTCGCAGAACGGCTCAGGCCGGAGGCACCTCGGATGCCACGCACTGCACCAAGGCAGGGGCAGCTGCATCCCGTGGGGTTTGTGGCACCACAGACGGTGACACAACTTTCTGGACAACCCGTGCCAGCATCTGACCGCCCACGCAGTAAAAAAGGTGGCTTCTTGTGTTCAGAGGGAGCCTGATGTGTTCTGGTTGGTGCCCGTTGCCAGTGGGCACAGCAGGGGAGCGCAGGGCTCCCCCGCATGCCCGCACACATGCTGTATGTGCAGTATATAAATAAAATCACAGACACACAAGGAGAAGAGCAGTGGATACAAAAAAATAAAAGCAAGCCTGGTTAATTTGCAGTTGGGATCCTCTTGCCCCGATGCCATCAGCTCACGCTGACCAGGTGCCGTGCCCAGCTCACAGCAGGCGCATGGCATTGCCAGGGTGGGCTCTGCGGAGACCTTTTGATCCCTTTTGATCCCTATTGATCCTTTTGCTGTCAGAAAAGCCATCTGCACGCAGGTATCTCAGAGGCCACCACAACACATTTTTATTAATTTGGGCGTACTTCGCCTTTAGTCTGTGCTGGAGGGCAAAAAATGTGTAACTTCTGCAGTCCAGCAGGGACCCTGAGATTTGGGAATTGTATGGTGGCTTATTACACTTACAGGTGAGTCTGTGTCACTCGGTCCTGGGGTCTGTCACTCCCAGCTGGCTGAGCCAAGGTCTCCCACATCCTAGAGACAAGGATGACCAAACTGGGCTCGTTTGTTAAGCGCTGTGAGCTGAACGGGGCAGCTGCTCGGTGTGAGAGCTGGCCACGGTTACTCTAATTATTAATTGCTGGCTACACTTTAGCTGGCTTTGGCTCACTTTGTTTGCTCAAAGTACTGCAAAGTTTTCTCTGCCCAAAATAAAAACGTCCTCGGGGACAGCGCAGCTCTGTGCACCGGGAAGTGCAGGAGAGGAGGTGACCGCGGCGCCCCGGCTGCGCTCCCCCAGCGCGGGACGTGGCGTGGGCACCGCTGGGCTTGCCCCTAAAATAGCCGGCGTGAGCGGGCCACAGGTGGCGCAGGTAATTTCCACCTGCTTTTAAGCAAATATTGCAAGTGTTTTCTTTTGGTGTTTTGAAATCGCTCTCGCAAGCACTTTCTTCTCTGTGGAGGGCAGCGGGGCCGGCTCCAGCCTGGTGACGCCAGCGGCTTTGCCAGGGACACCAGTGGGGCTGGGCACGGCTCCACAGGGGACCCAAAAACAGCACTTGGCCCAGCTGTCCAGGCATGAAGTTCTGCTCGTAAGAAGCAGAACTCAGAATTCTTCCCGATTTTTCTCGTCCCAGACAGGATTTCCAGCCACCAGCTCCAGTGCCCCGGGGCCCCTGCGCATCCCCATGGGGCAGGAAGAGCAGCCTGGGTGCCAAGGGAAATCATGGGCCCTGTGGTGCCCACATCTGGGAAAAAAATGGGGAACCAAGAGGGGACGGGAGAAGATGGGGGCTGGGGAAGAGGAGTGGGGTGTTTGTGGGATCCTGCTCGCTGTGGGTTGGGGGACAGCCCCCACTGAGAGGGGCGGCAGGGCCACCCGCAGCGTGGCTGATGGCACACTTGGCCGCCAGGGCCATGGTTAACGATTAAAGCTGGCTCCAGTCTGCAATATTTATCTTGGGAGGGGGAGGACCCCAGCTTGTTTGGTTTGTGGGAAGTGTTGGGAAACGGTGACGCTGGCGCGGAGGGACCAGGCAGGGCTGGTGTGCAGTGGGGTCAGCGTGGGGCGGGTGTCCCTGCCTGGTGAGGTGGGGACGCTGCGGTGCCGGTGGGTGCACCTGCCCCTGCCACGAGCATTGCCTGCACCCACATGAGCCTGGTGTGGGCCACAGCTTCATCAGAGAGAAAAATTGGGGATGCAATGGTTTGTATGGGTGGCAGGAGACACGCACAGGCTCACCATAGAGGAAAATGAAAGGCACAGGCACTGCTGTGCCATAAGTACTCAAACCCACAAAACTCACCAAGTTCTGCACCCTGGGATGGTGCAGGAAGAACAAAATTTTCTGTTTCGGTTTCACGGCATGCACTTTGTACCAACAGTGGCAAAACGGGCACGTCGGCAGGAGCCCACGAGGTCTTACAAGCTGAGAGCAACCTGTTTTAGGCATATGTGCATTTACTGTCCTGATACAGTGACACACGTTTAAACCCGACTGAAGAGTGTAACATGTATTGTAGCACTGATCCCGCGTTAATTGGGAGGGAACTAGATTTTGTGACAGCTGATCTGTTTCTGCAGATAAGCTTTTAGGAAGAATTGCTGGGAACTGGCTTAGAATTTTAGCTATACAGGGGAGCACCGAAATTATCATTTTATACATAATTTTTGAGGTTGGGATCCCAAAAATAGCCCCTAGCAAGTGTTGCCAGACAATAAACGCTGACAATGTAGATCGATTTGGCAATTGTTTAGGTTTCAGCCGTGGTTAGAGGGAGAAAAACCCCGAGCAGGAGCTGTTAACAAATGAGGCACCGCGGGCACGCGCTGCAGCCGTTAACTCTGAGCGTGCAGGATCCTGCTGCGAGGGGGGCTGCTCCCTCTCAGCCCCAGCCTGCTGCCCTCGGAGTCCACAGCCTGGCGGCCCAAATCCTAAGACTGGGGATCCCTGCAGTCCCTGCCATGGCAGGGGTGCTGATGGGGCTCAGACGGAGGCAGGAGGGAGCCGGTGCACGCAGGCACTGCCCTCACAGGCACGGGGCTAGGCTGTAAAGCAGAATTTGTGGGGACAGGACGCTCTGATTGCTGGATATCCTCTTCATTTCACAAGGGCAGAGAGGGATCCAATGCCCACAAACTGCCTCTAATAAAAGACCAGAGAGCTAAAGCATTTTTAATAGTGGCTGAGTAACCACTATGAGAACTTAAACATAAGCCGGTGGCTCCAGCAGCAGCACAGCCCCTCGGTCACGCTGCTCCTGCTGGGGGGGTGGCCATGCTGCGGGGTCCCTGCGTGTGCCACATGTGCCACACGTGCCATGCTGCTGCTTCTTACAGCCCCTTCCAGCCAGGGAAACATGGCTCTGGGAGTCCAGGGGAGCATGGTTGAAAAGCAAAGCTCCTCTCGAGGAGCCGCCAGGGAACCCAAGCAGGGTCGAGGCAAGCCGCAAGTCCTCTCTTGGCCTGGAAAGTGGCCACCATGCAGAAATGGAGGAGAAGCGATCGATCGGCTCTGACACAGCACAACGACAGCTCTCGGGGCTCCAGATCCACGCGGCGAGGGGGCCGAGCGGTTCTGAGCCCCGGCTGGAATCCGGTAGGCGTGCGTCTGCCCCAAATGCCTGCTGACACAGGGGAACCAGAAGCCGAGGGGCTGCCCCCGTGTGCCGTGTGGTCTCAGCCTCCTGGCCTCACCACACGGCGTGATAAAGCCCAGGGCACACAACGTCCTCTGTGCCCAGGGCTGCTGGGCTGCGCCTGGCTGGGGGCTTTAATCGCAGACCCTAAAATCCTGAACAGCAAGCGAGTGGTGAGCAGTCAGATGACCAAGGATGAACGTAAGAGCAGCACATAAAATGTAAGGAGAGATTTGAGCCTGAGGCACAAATGAAAGAGCTAGCGAGGGAGCGCAGAAGTAAAACTTGGTGAGTTCATGGCCAGAAGCCCAAGGCGCGAGCTGTGCCGCGGCTCTGCGGGGAGGGCGAGCTGCTGGCAGGGAGCTGAGGGAGCTCTCACTGCTTCGCCGTCAGAATGGGAGGAAGTTTCGGGTCCTGCAGGGGTCTGTCCTAGCCGGGCTCTGCTCAGTGTTTCCATTCCCAGCCGGTGGGACGGGCAAGAACCACAGAAAATGAATCATCGGACATGGTGCTCTCCCGAGGTCCGTTCCGACCCCTACAACTCTGTGATTCCTGTGATCAACCAGCCTGAAGGGTAATTAGCACTAATCACCTGATGGAGAAGCAGCATGGGGAACCCGGGCTGCCAGCAGGGCCGTGCAGCAGGGCCGGGGATAACGGCAGCGGGGCCGTGCGGGTGAGATGGGGTGCGAGCACCGCGCATCCCTCCTGGAGATTCGTACGGCAGGCACGAGGCCAAGAAAAGCAAACGCCGGTTCATCCACCGAGCATCTCTCACGGGTATCTCGAGAGGGGTCGGCAGCGGAGGGCTTGAGCTGAGACCCCGCACCCTCAGTGCCTGGCTCCTGCCCAGCCCCGTGCCTGCAGCACAGCGGGGGCTGCGCCGAGCCTGCGCTTCTGCTGGGGCGCAGCGTCCGTGGCACCGTCACATTCACCTGTCTGAGCGTGTGTCCTGTACAATACACGGCCACACCACGTATCCTGTGCAATACGGAGCGGGGGCTGATTCAAATGATGATCTGGTGCTCTGCAGCGTGTGCCCACGGCACGGAAAAGCCCTCCAATTCGGGCCATGAATTATTATTGACAGCAGGCAGGTAAGAAAATACGGAAGGAAGAAGTGGACGCGGTTGAGTTTTACAGACTTCCAATGCACAATAAAACATTTTATTTAAAAACAATGCATTCAATATCGTGTTTTGGCACATGAGTCAATGTTGCAGGCACATTCACACCAAACAATAACACTGCTGGAGGATTCAAAGTGAATCATCGCGTTTTTCTCCACGAACTATGGTCACGACGAGTATGCGCTACTCCTGTACAGAAAGACCCAGGCTCCTTGCTCACAAACGTGACGAGGGATTTACATGCACAACGCGCTGTGCAGGCCACAGCCAAGCCTCGGCTGTGCGGCCACGTCTGGTACAAGCCGTGTCAGTCTGCGGGCCCGATCCTGATCGCGCTGAAGCCGACAGAGACCCTTGGGGGGGAGCGAGGACTCACCGCCAGTTCTGCTTGCAGCGGGTCTCACAACATGTGCAGCTTCGCATGCCGGCCACCTGAGAGTGTACTCCGGCCCCTTGTGAACATCAGCCATTTAAAAATAAATAATACTTTTAGTATGGCCATTAAATAATGAATCCTGTAGTACAACTATGGCATTTTTTTTCTCTTTTTTTTTTTTTTTTTTAATATTTATGTTTTTATCGAAAACAGCTCCATCAGGCATTTGAATAAAGACACATTCATTTACAGCAAACCTGCTTCCTAAGCCATTTGTTTTTGCAACCTCCGTTCCCAGTGAGTTATATTTCACGACTGCTTGCTTTTTGGTATACTCCACAACTAAAACCGGTAGCCAAAACGCCTTTTCTTTTAAAATGTATCCTGCTACCACTCACTGAAAAGATGCAAGCAACTGAAACACAAAAGGAAGATGCATGGAAGGAGGGCAGGTAACACGCCTGTTTCCATTCCTACCTACACCTGCTCCTGCCGTTCCCGTCCTCGGCTGTCCCCGGAGCTAGTCGGAGGCCTTCTCTCCACTTGGTAACCTGAAATGTTTTGTACTTACGAGTATTGATCACGCTGCATTACGCATCCCTTCATTTAGCTATATTTGCTTGTCTAGACATCCAGTAATAGTGTATATTTTCCCTGAACCGTCATGAATTCATTTAGATTGAGAGCAACAGGAAGATTTGGGGCCAAACAAAAGCGAAGGAAGAGTCTAGCCAGCACAATAAGGGATGCAGCTGGGATTTGCTGTCCTGAGGACGCAGAGCTGCAGCTGGCATCTTCCTGCAGCTGCGAGCCAGGCAGGAGCACGCTCGCTTTTTTAACAAAAATGCCATTTTCTGCCCTGGTTAAGGATCAAACCCATAACGTGGGGTTCTACGGGAAAACCAGCCTGAAAGAGGGGCTTGAGAAAGAAGCCCAGCCCTGGCCCTGAGGAACCAGGAGGGTCTTTACCCTCCTGGGGAGCAGAGCCGCCCGCACAGCCTGCCCTTCCCCTTCGGTCTCTAGGAAGAGCGGAATTCAAAGAGATCTAAGGGAACAGGCAGAAACAAAAGATGCACATTTTAAAGATGGTTTTCCACATTGCAACAGCTCGGACAAAAAATATTGATACTAAGAAGCAATTTACTTTGGGCTGTATTGCGCCATTGATTTTGGGGCAGAACTCCCCATTAAAATCAATGATTCTGAAATGTTCAATGTGGTTCTGAAAAATCAATGGGGAGTTTTGCTTAAAAATCAATGATATAATATGGCCCTTTGTCAATAATTTTTCTGTGCTCCCATTTCCGAATATTTGCAGTCGTTTCCACGCTGCCTTCCCTGCGCTCGGCTCCTCTTTGTGCCCCCGCGCAGCGGCACCGTGCCCTGGCCCCCCTCTGCCTCGGGCCAGGCCTCACTGCGAGCAGGAGGAACCCACGAGGTGCCCAAATTAGGGAGGCCAAGCGAAGCCCGTGCTGTGTAAGGCAGCTTTCCAACACAGCCCAGCACAGAAATGACGGCAGCCGTGGGGAGAACAGGCATGGCACGTGTGGGCGTCCTCCTGGCTTTATTGCAGTTACGGAAGTCGTTTATGTTTTAAAAAAAAAATAAACGATGACAATTTAAAGAACTGCCTTGGGGCTATTTAGGGTTTTGGTTTCAGCGTCTAAGTTTACCGATTATCTTCTAACACGGGTGCTGCAGAGCAGTCGCTCTGAGCAGCCAGAAGCCACGCACTGCCAGGACGGATGGACAGAGGCCCCGGCAGCGCCGCTGCTCCTTCCCTGCCCCTCTCCCAGCAATGCCAGGGCAGGAGCTGCCCCCGGCCGCTCCCCTCGCTCAGTCCCTCTGCTGTTCTGCTGCCAGCCCCTGCCAGGGACCCCCGGGGGTCCCATGTGCCTGCCCAGCAGCCGCAGCCTCCCCGCAGGGCTGGTGTGGTGCCCCCAGAGCTTGGCCGGGCTGCGCTCCCTGCAGCACAAACAGCCCCGGAGGCACACAGATGGAAATCCGTGTGTTTAGGCTATGGAGATTTACTTGCGAGCACGTCTAATTTAAAGCAGTAATGTCATGTAAAGAACACGCAGCAGCCAAGCAAGACCTGCCAGCGCAATTTTGCCATTGAGAGCCAGCAGCTGAAAACCACACAGAGTGCATTGGCCTCCACGTTGAAGCAAACAGAATGATAACTGTTCATATTTCTTTGATTTGCTGATTAAAAATGACCTCTCCTGACACGAAGCTGACACGAAGGGTGTGGGGGGCCCTTTGCTCCCCCGGGCTCCCGGCCGAGCCGTGCGCTCAGCTGCGCGCCGACCGCAGAGCAAATCGCCTGCCCTAGCCAACAGGCAGCCCCTGTGCAGCTCCACGGCAAATTGTATCAGAGATGATTAGTCGCCGCACATCATTAGCAATTAGCGCAGAACCCTTCCTTCCCCGTGACAGTTCTCTTTTGCTGTTTTAGGCTGTGCTCTGGCACCCGGAGCAGGCTTTGTGGCCGGGCTCAGCTAGGCCGCGTGCTCCCTGCTCCTGCTCACCGCCAGCAGCGTTTCGGGCTGGGGCAGCCTGGCCCCTCGGCTCAGCCCCATGTTACACCACATTCCCCTGGGCACCACACTGAGCAGGGCAGGGCTGACCGCCCAAGGGTGCCATCCTGCCACCCTCAGCACTGGGGTCCCCACGGCACTGGGGATAGCGGGGCTGGCTGCCCTGCTCTGCATCACCCCGCCCGCGGCCCTCACCTGCTACTACAGCACAAATAATAAATGGCAATATTCATAATAAATCATATGGCACCACACGGCAGAACACGCTAGCGTCACGACACAGCTATGTCTTCATAATCACGGCTGCTAGAAGTCACACGCTGCTGTACGAACAGCGGTGAGCGCAGGACAATTGTGACAAGGGAAGCCGGAGATGCCAGCAGGGCCGGTGCAGAATTACGCCCTGGGAAAGGGAACTCGGCAGTCAGGAGGTTTCTACACAAGCACGTCTGAAGTCACTCGTGGCCAGCAGGCCGGCATGCCATGCCAGACAGCATCCAAGCCCCTTCCACAGCTCTAAATGCCCATTGCAAAAGGAAAAGCCGGAAAATGCTGGGTAATGAAATAGGGGAGAAGGAGGGGTTTTCAAAAGGGTTTTATAATTCTCCATATTCACAGCCAGTGCAGAGGGCTGGAGTCCCTCCTTGCTGGAAGAAGCTGAATTTGGTCGTGTGGCGGATGCGGTGGCTTTTTCCCCCAAAGCACAGGAGATGCCTGCTGTGGCTGGGGGCAGATTGAGGGGCTGGGGATGAGATCAGGCCGGGAGGGAGCTGGGCAGCCCACGGGGCCGGTCTGGGGGCTCAGGGCTCCCCCGGGAAGGGGACCCCCCTCTGACCGCTGTGGGCTGGCTGTGGGCACTGGGCAATGCTCCCAGTTTGTGTGCTACCGGAGCCCCCTGCCCTCTTCCTACGTCTGCGTGTGGGTACGGAGTCACTGAAAAACTAAAAGGTGCAACGTTAAGGGATGATTTTAAATTGTCTTTTGCATCTTCTTTCAGCGTATACTCAGTTCTCAGTGTCATACAGAGTAATATAAAAATGTTAAAATACTTTTAAGCATACTCGTTTTAATTAGAAAAACAGTTACTTTACAGGCTCCTTTATCCTGAGACATCATGGCCAAGATTTTCACATATGTGACCCTAAGATTTGTCCTTTTTGCAACCAGCCTGCTTCTCAAAGGTCCTTAAAAAGCTGTGCCTCCCTTTGACCGCACCGACTGTGAGCGGAAAACGAGGCCACTAATTCAGTTGTCTGACCGCGGACCTCGGGATGTAAATGGGGAAATCCAGTAATTGTATTTCCTGCTCCCTGTGCTCCAGCTTCCCTTTAAAAGCCATTTTTTAGCAACTTGGAAGTCCTGATTTCATTGCGCTGCCTGCCTGGCTGGCTCCCCCCCGACCCGCTCACCCTCGCGGGTGCTTGGTGGGGCCGGGCCGTGGGGACCCCCGGGCACATCTCCGCCGAGCGGCGTGGGCTCCCCGGTGCCTCCCTGCACTGTGGTACAGGCACAGGCTCTGTGTGCTCACAGCCAAGGAGACATCGTCTCCCAAAACGTGCTTCCCACCGAGGATGCAGCCTCGAGAGGGGCACACAGCCTGGTGCCGCCCTGGGGCTCGCCTCGCCACGGGGTGGACACTCCTCGGAGACCTACGGCCGCCCGTTGGGCATTCAACAACCAAAATTAACAGACCAAATAGTGTCACACGGATGTGAGTGAAAATGTTTCAGTCAGTCTAATTTGGACTAGGGAGTGGCCCCAACTGCCTTAAAACACCGGCGTATTCTAAGAGTGATAGAAATGCCTAGCTAAAGTACAAGCCGTATTTTCACCTTCTCCGCGAGGTCTTAAAAAAATGTAAAATTCAGTAAATACGAAAATACGCAAGCTGTGGAAATTTGGGATCCGCGCTGAAGAACTCGTCAGCGATGATACACTGCGATTCTGGGTGGCTTTTCCAGTCTGCCACACCAAGTAGATGGATGCTGAGCTACTCATAGCAATGGATACGAGAGAAGCGATACCTTTTAAAATTAGCACTCCTAATTCTAATCTGAAAGGAACAATCGACTTAAGATGTTTTGAGGCATTTAGTGGAATGCTGAAATAGGAAAAGATTTTAAAACATACTTCATAGCATATATATAAATGCAAAATATTTCAACTTTGCTGTGCTGCTGCATGATTAGCATCCACAGAATTTGATAAATGCTTCTGCACTGCTAAATATGCTGAAACCCTTTGATGAACAGTGACAAGGGTGATTAAAAAGCATCTTTCTATTATGGAAAATATTTTAGGGTGGGTATTATTATTATTATTTTTTTTTTAGAATTGTATCTGAAGAATGTTTAACTCAGATTTGGGCACTTTTTAGACAATCATTTGGCACTTCGAGATTAGGTTCTTAGGCACAATGCGACAAGGTCAGTTTGGCCAGTCCTTCACCGTGCATCCTGTAGAGCAGCTGGAACTCTGCAGGCAGCTGGTGGGACTCCTGCCACTTGGTTGTGAACTTTGTTCCTTTCTTATCATAGTAGTGGTATGGGAGGTCTTCCCTCGTGTTGGGGTCAAACCCGAACGGCCAGAATCCGTACAAGTGAATCTCTTCGCATATGGCAGAAGCGAGTGTATACATGAGAATACCTGTGCTCAGCCGCTTGGGTGACAGGTGTTTGTTTTTCCAGTATCTGTGAAAAAAAAAACACAAAGGCACGTTAGTATAGGGTGCACATAATGCCACGGGTTTGCTGTGAGAAAAAGAGAAAAAATTACTGCATGGAGACCGTCAAAAATGCTGCTGCATGGAGACCATCGGTGCTCACAGCTGTTAACCCAGCAAGCTAAAGATTGCAGTTCTGGTCAGTCTGTCATGAACTGGACGGCAGAACTGCCTTATTACCAGCCTGATTCTCTTCTGTGATCCCCTTCCACATGTCTTTTTGTTTTTTTTTAACCTGGAAAAGCAGTGCCCTATCCAGAAAGGTAGATTCACTGGCTCCTGGTCACACGCGCCACATTTTCCTTGTATAAATCAGTACAGATTTGCTTGGATCACTCTGCAGATATCAGCTAGCATCCCCAGTTGCTAGCTGGGAAGAACAAGTTCTTCTATAAGCGGTGCTTTTCTCATGCAGAATCTCACTCAACTCCTCCGTACTCCTTCTGTCTCTGCGAAGCCCCGGCAGGAGCAGAGCCCATGGCACAGCACACCCTGTGCGCGCCACCAGCCCACCTCAGATGTGCCTCAGCACAAATCCCTACAGAAATAATTGAAGCACTCTCTGAAGCAATAACAAAAGTGCGTTTGCTCTGAAAGCAGACGGTATCGGGCCCTGCCTTGCCAGACAGGGCCTATTAGGTTAGTCGTGAACAGAAAAATAAACGCCGTTGTGTTTATATAGAGAGAAATATGTATTTTGACAAGTTAAATGTGAAAGAAAAACACACACCTGTTCACATGTTGCATTATATTTCCTGGCCAAGCCAACTGGACCTTTAGTTGCCCTCTGTGCTCAACAAAGAAGTCAACCAGTGTTCTTGTGACCGTTGCTGATGTGTGGAAGAAGAAAGCCGGGATCCACAGAATGGCTCCATCGAGCTTTTTGAGACTTAAAAAGAAGTTGTTGCGATCCTGAATGGTCAAGAGATTGTTGTAATACTTCTCCAGGATGCTGGGGTTGAAGGTTGTGAGATTGGTTTTCCTTCCAACATCTTTTTGGAATGCCTCAGTGGGAGCAAAATTGCAACGAAAAACAAAATCAGATTTGTCTATTTCTTGTCCGCACTGACTCCCGGTCAGGATCCCGCTGTTTCCAACCACGGCACAGATGTTGTAATGCTTATTGAGGATCGGAGACACGTCTGGAAGCAGCGATCTGAAGTTATTGCTGATAGAAAAAACGTACTTATGGCTGGAATAATCATAATGCATCAGCTGGCCGATCCGGACACTATTCTTGGTCAAAGAAAAATTTTTTATGACATCGACATGCTGAAGGATTTCTTGCCTAAAATAAAACAGAAAGACAAAAGAAACCATTGAGTTATGCTTCCCCCTTTTCTGTGGTAGAGAGATTTACTTCCAGATGGATTTTTTTATTTTTTTTAATGCAGCAAAGCAGTTTCCTGAGCAATGTGGTGCAACGGCTTTAAAATTAATATACAGAAATAGGAACGAGGGAGCTGGCTGCTCACCCCGTGCTCCGCTTGGCTTTACTGGCCTGTCCTGACTGGTGCCAGCTACGGATGTGTCCGTGTCTGCGGCGATAGTGTCAGGACTAAAACCTCGGATTCGCCACATAAGTGTGAGGACTGTAAGGAGCAGCACACACTTCCCACGTTCACCTTCCTGAAGCGTAGGGCGAAGCACATTTCTGTTTGTGCTGCGACATGCCTGCTGGAAGGGTTTGCTGCTGCTGCTGTTCTCTGCACATATTTCACTCGGTTCTGGGCCACGGATCTCTGGTAATGATGGATATTGTGTTTGCCATGACGCATTTGAAGCAAAACCAAGAAGTCCAGCTGAATTAACAGACACGTAGCTGATTTTTTAAATACAAGTATTTCTTGTGTTCCCATTACGGAGCTTTGAGTCACAAAACAAGTGACAGTCACTGTCTCCCTTTATGTAAACATAATTCCTTAATGTCTTTTTTGAGCAAGCAAGCCAGCATCTTTGCAAGGGTTATTAGGAACACTTAAAAAAAACAAACAAAACCAACCCTGCTCAGGAATTTCCCTAGCAGGGCATAAAATTAGAAAACCAATACCACTTTATTTGCTCATGTTTATGGAAAACAAACAACCTTTCTTCCAGCTCGCATCCTCCAATGTCTAAGCATTAATGGAGTCCCACTGGGTACCCTCATTATGGGTTATGGCTGACAGACAAATGCAGAGGCAGATCCTGAGGCATTAGCTAAAACCAGCAGAGGGGTGACACTGAGTTATTTATTAAGAATGAGCTGGTGGTGCCAGGAACGAAGCCATACTACGGGGGGGGCCCCGCTACACCAGCCGGGGAGATCCCAGGGAAGGGATGGGGCAGGCAAAGTGCCATCGCCTCTCGGATGCCCACAGCTCCTTTGGGGCTCCTCTGGGGCTCCTGATGGGCGGTGGGCAGCTTTTGGCAGTGCTGGAAGTTCATCATCGGCCTGCTGTGCCCACAGCAGTGCTGCCCCAGGACTGGAGATGTGAATGTGCAGCTGGTGCTGCAGGGCTGCAGTGCCCCACTCTGCAGGGCTGAGGGACCTGGGTTCACGTTTCCTGGGTGGGATATGTGAACAGTCACGGTGTGGCCCCAAACCAGCAGGCATTCATCAAGACACAGCCAGAGCCAAGATGGCAGTAGCTATCTTAAATGGCTATAGGGTGCTGTTTTCTTTAACTTCCCTGCTGTATATAAATACTGCAGTAAGGCCAATAAATACTAGAGACATCACCGAGTTCATGGTGGGGAAAAGAAAAGCCCATTTTGCTCCACATGAAGCACAGGGCAGCTTTGAGGCAGCTTAAGGAACTGAGAAATTCCTTCTATTGCCACGAGGCCGTGAAAGTCAGCGCACCCTGTGATGGGAGGCAGAAGCCAATGTGCCGTGAGGGCATCTCAGGGGGGTCCGGGCTTGGTGGTCCCCCGAGCTGCCCCCAGCCCACCTGGCCAGCTGGCACGGTGGCAGGAGGCAGAGCTGCACTGCATTTGCTCAGAGCTGCTGGCGGCTGGGAAGTTGTGCTGGGCGTGCTCTGCCCTCAGTGAACGTGGCACTGGGTGGCTGCTACAGGCCGATTTGTTTCGAGTTTTAAGCAGCCAGCCATTTATCTTGATAAATGACAATTTCTCTCACACTCTGGGAAACTGGGTCATGTTCCGTTTGGTAAAAGGATGCGTGTTGCAGCTTGGTGTCCTGCTCTGAGATAATCAATTCCTCCACGATAACTGTAACCATCTTGGGAAATGCTCTGATTCAGCCTTTGTTTCTCACGGCTGGCGAATTACTCAGAACTCAGAGTATTTAGCAGCCCCAGACTGCATTTTCTTACCCCCTCGGGGAACAGGGATAACCTCGGGGAAGGTGAGAGGGGGCGAGCGGGCGCCGAGCGCTCACCTCTGGTGCGCGAAGGCGGTCCGGTTGAACACCCACTTGGAGGGCTTCTCCTGCAGCTCGTGGCTCAGGGAGTTCGTGATGGGCACGAACGAGGGGTCCAGGAACTTCAGCGCGAACTGCGACCTGCAAGGGAGAGCACGGACCCACACGGGCACGGGGGCACAAACACTGGGGCACGGGCACGGGGCGCACACCCATGGGCGCACACCCGGGGGCACAAACCCAGGGGCACAAACCCAGGGGCACAAACCCAGGGGCACACACCCGGGGCACACCCAGGGGCACACGCAGGCCGTGCCCCGTCTCCAGCGGAGCCCGAGCCGGGGGCAGCACCACGGACAGCGCCGGCTGCTCCGCGCCGCTCCCCGACGGGCCGGGCCGGGCCGGGCCGTGCCCAAATGCGCCGGGATGCGCCGGGCCAAGCCGAGCCGTGCCGAGCTGCACCGAGCCGAGCCGTGCCGAGCTGCACCGAGCCGAGCCGCTGCCCACCCTGCAGCCCCCCCCAGGCGCCGAGGATCCCACGCCCGGCCCGGGAGCCCCGCGCTCCGGGGTCGCCGCCCGCCTCCCGCAGCCCCGGGGATGGCGGGGCCGGGGCCGGGCCGTGCCGGGGGTCTCCGGGCTGCGGGGCAGCGGCGGCGGGGCCGGGCCGGGGCCGCGGGGCCTTCCCGGGGCCTTCCCGCGGGGCCCCGCCGAGCAGCGCCGGGGCTCCCCCGGCACCGGCTGCGGGATGCGGGGGTGCCGGGGGTGGGACGGGTGGGACGGGAAGGCCCCCGCCCCCGGGCCGAGCCCCCCCCCCCCCCAGGCTGGCCTCACCTGAATCCCGCGTGGAACATGTACATGCGGGGCCCCCCCGGGCCGGCGGCGCGGGGCGCGCCGAAGATGTTGTCCTTCTTGAGCGAGACGTAGCTGATGAGGGAGAGGATGAGCAGCGCGATGCTCAGCATCACCAGCCCCAGCACGCTGGCCACCCGCACCATCTTGCAGCTCCTCATGCCGGGAGGCGGCCCCGCGGCTGGGCGTGTGCGGGGGGGGCGCCGCGGGGCTGCATGCGGGGGGGGCGGCGGGCGCGGGGGCGGCGGGCTCGGCCCGGCGGCGGGGACGGGGCCGGCAGCGCCGAGAAAATGGAGGGAGCGAGCGAGCGGCGGCGCTGAAATGGCAGCCGCAACCCCAAGGCCCGGCTCCCGCAGCCCCGAGCGCCGCCGGCCCCCCCCCCGCCGCCCCGCCGCACGGCCCGGCCCCCCCCCCGGCCCCGCTTCCCTCCGGCAGCCCCGGGGGTGCGCCCCGACGGCTGCCCCCGAAGGCCCCGGGGTGCCCCCGGAGCCCGGTGGGATCGGGGCTCCCCCCCCGGACCGTTCCTCGGCCCCGTGCCCCCTCCGCCAACGGCTCCCGGCTGCGCTTTGGGCTGCACCCCGCAAGCCCGTGGGGTCCCCAAACCCGCGGTTTCCCCAGCCCCACGGTGCCCCCAGCCCCACAGTGTCCCCCTGGCACAAGGGCTGGGGGCTGCCAGGGGCTGCAGATGGCCAGTACAGCGCTGTGGGGTCTGCCTCTCAGTCTTGGTGCTGTAAAACGCACCCAAAGACCCCTTGCTTTCTAAAACCAAGGAGTTCGGGCCACGGTGAGACCTACAAGAGCCCTGGCTGCAATTAACTGGCCCGTAAATGACCCAGCAACCTTGAGGTGAACTCCGGGAGAGCCCCACTTCTGCACACCGAGGAGCATTGGTCTCCTCCGAGCACAACTTGTGCATGCTGCAGTACTTGCCGTGTTTCTTCAAGCTCCATTTCTTTTTCCTTATGAAGCTCACCCCCATAGACATCTCTGCCTCTGAGCCCTGAGTTCATAGAAGTGCCTTATAAATAATAAATATTGTCTTTGTAGCACCAGCCTTGCTCTGGGCTATATCCTACAAGCTCCCCATGCATGAGGCTCTCTTTGAAGAGGTGGAACATGAGGAGCTTGCAGGGCTGGGTTTTACGTCACAGCATGGTTCTCCAGCCTTCACTGGGAATTTGGCCTGAGTATGGCCCGGAGGACTGCATCCCAGTGCCCTGGGATCCTTGTGGCTTCGGCAGAGAGGGAAGAGAATGCAAATTGAGGAAATAATGCTGCTTTGAGATACAGCAGGCAGCTTTTCTGCATGGCTCTTCACATGGCTTCCCATCAGCTCCTCTGCTGCTGTCCCCACAGTGCGTGCTGTCCCCAGCTTCGGCACGTCCACCCAGTGTGCTCAGGACATGGCACCTACAACTTTTCACAGTTTTTGGAAATCAATTCTGTCATGTCTAGCATTAAGTCTTAGGTGGTTTGTGGCCATGCGTGTTGGGGCTGGGTATAAGCTCCTAGGGGTAGGACCACGCAGTCCTCACGTCCCTTCTTTTGGGGCGCAGGCACAGGCCCGGCGTGCAGCTGGGGGAGCAGAGGGGCTGCGGCCTGAGATGCAGCCAAACCTTGTCCCGAGACGCTGCATGGCACCGGCTGTGTGCTGCAGGAGGGCTGAGGGCAATGCGGGGCGCAGAGGGGAGCAGAGCGCAGCGCTGCGGGCAGGACATGGGGACTGTGGTGTGCCAGGCCCCCGCTGGCTGATGGTGCCCCCTGATCCCACCCGGTCTCTGCGCAGGGGACACCAGAGAGGGCGGCTGAGGGGTGCCTCGACAAGAAATACTTAAAAAGCCTGTCTCAAAAGTGCTCCGTTCTGCCCCGTTTCCCTGGCCCCAGCCCTGGCGGGGCCGCGCACCGGTCCCAGGGTGCTGTGCACGCGAGCACGTTGCAGGAGAAACAAAGGCAGTTTTTGCTTCAGATTCTTCAGAGATAGCAATATGTCAGGAGCCCCTAGAGAGGCTGAAAGTAAATGAATCAGTGCTAGAAAGTGAAGGATATCATCCGCACTGAATGGTGAAGAGGAGTCCTGAACAGTATCTTCATTGATTTTCCTGTAATTGACACAGAATCCCGGCTTGCCTGAGGGCTGCTGCGCGAGAGGAGTGGGGAGGCCCAGGTACAAGGAGCTGCCTTCCTGAGCCGCCAGAATTTCTCCTCAATTAGGTGGCGGATTTTTTGTGAGCACCTTTGAAAGAGGCAGTGGGCTGGCAAGCTGGCGTTTTCATTATTCACAGGGTGTTTTGCAAGCTGTGCTAAAGAAAGGGGGCAGAGGGAGACGCGCCTCGTGCCTCAGCATTGCCACGGCTTCCCACCAGCCCCAACCTGGGGATCGGAGAGGTCTGTCCCCACCCAAATGACCCTGGCTCTGTGAAAGTGCTGGTGTCCAGGCCCGCAGCGAGTCGTTGGCTGCTGATTAATACCTGTCCGTAAGTGAGTGTGCTTGCTAGAAAATACAGCGGTGGCACACAGCAGGAAATTTGTAGGAATTACTGTTTTGATTAGATTTCAGGTCTCCAAGGAGGAATATGCCTTCCCTATAAAACCCCTTCTGCCTGCAGCTTCGGTACGGCGGCTCGAGCGGCAGGACAGACAGACAGACAGAGCTGGTGTGCAGGCAGAGCCTGGCGGGGCAGCTCAGGGAGCTCCCCGAGCACATGCAGGATGTGCAGGCAGAGGAGACCTCCTCGCGTTTTTGGGTAATCCTTGCCCCAAGGGAGGAGGCAGGCTGCACCTGGGTCAGCTGCTTGCCTGCAGCACTGGAAAAGGTGTTACAGTGCCTAAAATCCCATCAGAAGTGGAGTAAATCCCGACGTTGGTAGGAGGTTGGTTTTATGCAGGTTCTAGCTGTGCGTCAGTGATGTGCCAGCTCTGGCACCAGGCGCAGAGCTGAATTCCAGCTAAGCTGAGCTGCAGGTTGAACACATGAGGCTGATCATCGTAAATGTGATGGGGGAACCTCCTCACCCGTAATCTACCAGACATTTATGACTATCTGCTGCTCTGTCAGGAATACCAGGAGGTGTTTTAGCTAATACATGCCTTGTGATGGGCCAGTGGATGTGGGCAGTCAGTGGGGTTGGAGATAGCTCTGAGGTGGTCGGGTCCTGCCCCTGCCCCTGCCCCAGCCAGGGCAGCCAGAGCCGCGGCCAGGACGCATCCAGCCGGGGTTTGAACTTCTCCTAGGATGGAGGCTCCGCAGCCCAGCACAACCTGCTCCGTGCCTGACCTCCCTCACAACACACGTTTGGGTGCAATTTCTCATATTTTGATCTGTGCCCATTGCTCCTTGTCCTGTCGCTGGCAGGAAGAGCCTGGCTCCCTCTTCTTTTTCTGTGTTCGGACACAGGGAAGCGATGTAATTAACGCCCTGAAAGGCACGGTGACAGCTCATTTGCAGCTGCACTCCATGGCCAGGGAGGGATCTCTTCTTTACAGCGCTTGGTGGTAACGTGTTCATCTGCCACTGCTAATTCAGCTGTTAATGCCTCCCTCTCAAGCTACAGCAAGCACGTGTTTTTATTTGGTGCAAAGATTGGCTGTAATTCCTATTAAATTCTGCCTCCCCGGAGCAGTGGGGCGGTCAGGACGCTGGCTCCAAGCGCTGCGGCTCTGCTCATGCTTCCCCTTGTCCCCTCTTGCTGTGGAGCTGGTGGAAAAGGAGCCCCACTTTCTGCAAAAACTGTGAGACTTCGTAAAAAATTCCCAGGAAACTTTGGCATTGGGTGATTTTCTTCTTGCGATGCTGGGTGACAGTCCCCATGGACCACAGATCTGAAAGAAGCATCTGATTTTGGAGATTTTCTGATAATGAAAAACCAAAATCTCTGCAGCAAAACGCTGTCAATAAGTGCTGTGTTGCCAGTAAGGAAACAATATCCAACAGAGGCACATGGCAGGGTTCTTCCTGATGCTAGGGAAGACTGCGGAAGAGGAGAAATGTGTGTGAAGCAGGGACAAGGATTCAAGCAGCCAGAGAAGACAAGAGCTGAGGTATCAGTGGAGCAGAAATGCAGATACGCTACATAAAAGAAAGCAGGAGCATCGATCTGCTTTCATGTCCGACAGGGGAAATACCCATCGGGGTGAGCGTGCACTTAGGAACGGTTCCCCCTTTTTGACTTATTCATACAAATGGGACGTGGTCTTTTTAACTCTACAGGAAAGTTGTGCTTTGAAGAATTGCACCCGCTGAAATGAACCTTTTCAGAGCTGTTTTTCTGTCTCCTTCCCTTCTTTGAAGCCCATGCGTAGGGTCTCCAAGCAGTGAGGGCATCCTGGTCTGACTGACTGCACCCAAAATAGTTTTAAAGTCTCTTTAAAAACAAGTGCTTGCTAGCCTGCTGGTGTGTGAAGCTCTATGAATTTATTATCAGAAGCATTCTCCTTCCTCGGCTGCGTTCAGCTTTCGCTGCTGGGTTGCAGCATCTCCACTTGCACTGAAAATCTGTTCCCCGGGGAAGGAGGTAAAGAGAGAGCCACCTGCGACTCCAATCACGGGGCTGTATTAATAAACGCCTCTCTCCCGGAGTCCCTCGCTCCTAAAACATTTGCAGCAGCCAACAAAGGCAGAAACTCGCTGCGAGCAGGGCTGCAAAGGGGACGGCACCAGGGGACAGCCTGGGGGACACCGAGGTGCCAGCACGTGGCTAGGACAGCAGCGGGACACGTGCCTGAGCCGTGGTGGGCACCTTGCAGGCATTGCCATCTGTGCCTGGTGGGGCATTGTGCAAACCATGAGCCATGGGCAGTGGCAGCCACCAAGGACACGAGCAAGGAGTGCCATTGAGTGGCCACAAAAAGCACGCGGGTGCTGCGATGGGGAGGGCAAGGGCAGGGACGAGCACCCTGCCATCCAGCTGGCACCAGGCTGGTCCCAGTGGCACCAGTCCGGACCCGGTGGCACCAGGCTGGTCCCGGTGGCACCCGGCCGGGCCCAGCGGCACCCAGGCCATCCCAGCAGCAGGGCAGCTCCGCTTTCCCTGAGTCACTCTCTTGAACGAAGGCCCCGGTTTTTCTGCTGATGCAGCGCCTCGGGTATCTAAATGCTTTGTTGAACGTCTGCCCAAGTGTGCGTAAGTGCTTTCAGGTTAGGTGGCTGCTGAATTGGGTTTCCTTGGACAATTATTTTCAACCTAAGTACCCAAAGCTTGCTTGAGCCCTTTTCTAAGTGCTTAAGTTATT